AAACTCGCTCGCTATCTCAAATCATTAAAACAACATCAAATATCAAGAACCATAATCAAAACTCAAGATTTTCAACTCCAAGACTCATTTTTTCAACTTTTCACATAATGCGCTGACGGCCTCAGGTCATCGGGGATCCTACCCAAACATGCATACAAGTCCAAAAATATATACGAAACTACCAAAATCGTCAAAATACCGATCCGAGATCGTTAACCAAAAATATTGACCGTGGTTAACCTAGCCACATTTAAAGTCAAAAATCATTATTTTCTTCAAAATTTTACATATAAACTTTTTGTAAAACGGCACTGATCATGCACGCAAGTCATACATCATTAAATAAAGCTATGAGAGGTCTCGTAATACATAAATGAGATCTGGTACTTAAAACGACATATCAGGTCGTCACATAAAAGGCTTTAGACATTTCAAAAAGGAGTTAGCATGTACTCTTTTCGTCGTAATTTATATAACATACACTTCATCATTTGTATAAGGAACACTTCATCCTTAGACATAATTTTCAAACAATTATCGTTCCTTCCTTTTTAATTTATGTGATATAATTTGAATCAATACGGAGTTTAAAAAAATAAAGTTTTTTAAATTTATAATCTAAAACATGTTATAATATATGTGTGACTGTAAAACTTTTGAAACTTGTGGTCTTAAATCCGACATAACATTTCATTAAGAGTAAATGAGAAGTGTAAAGTTAATTGTATTCAAATATAAAAATATATTCTTTTTGTACGGATTAATAGAAGAATAATGCCATATAAACTGGAATGAAGGGAATACATTTTATATAACCTTGACTTCTTTCTCAAACTAAAATAAAAAAATTTAAAAAATAATAAAAGAAGCGTATGTCGAAATATTAGAAAAGTTCTTTCCACTTAAAGCACAAAAGAGTCATTTACATTATTAAAATTAAAAGTGTCCTTATTAGAATCTTTTATGTGTAAAAGATAGATCTCTTATGTGTAAAAGTAAATCGTTTATATGTAAAAAGAAGATAGAGTCACTAAAATGGGCATTTGCATCTATACCCGCTTTTTTGGTCACATTTTAACTTGTGTCTGCTTTGCAAAAAAATTGCAAACGTACTTACTTTTTCGCGTAACTTCAGCATACGAGGCTGAAGTAGCAAAGACAATCACGCAAAACTTCAGCATTCTAGTAGACGGGCCTAAAGTAGCAAGTGTGATGTACCAAGTGTGCTGAAGTTTTTGTTTGTAATTGCTGAACTTAAGCATAGTAGTTGAAGTTTTGTTCTCTATGTGCTGAAGTTTTTGTTTGTAATTGTTGAACTTAAGCATAGTAGCTGAAGTTTTGTTCTCTATTTGCTGAAGTTTTTATTTGTAATTGCACTAAATAAGCTGAAGTTTTTTTTTTCCTGGATTCATTAGTTTTGTCATTAAGCTTTTTCAAAAACTTCAGCAGAAGATGCTGAAGTTATTTAGTTCATTTATAAAAACTTCAGCACTAAATAAGCTGAAGTTTTTTTTGTCCTGGATAAGCTTTTTCAAAAACTTCAGCAGAAGATGCTGAAGTTATTTAGTTCATTTGTAAAAACTTTAGCACTAAATAAGCTGAAGTTTTTTTGTCATGGATTCATTAGTTTTGTAATAAAGCTTTTTCAAAAACTTCAGCAGAAAATGTTGAAGTTATTTAGTTCATTTGTAAAAACTTCAGCACTATATAAGCTGAAATTTTTGAAAAAGTTTTTGATACGTCAACGCCTTTTTTCTAAACGTCGTCAAGGTTTGTTTTATTAGTAAAATCGAATTCAAACTTCTCATCAACTGAGGAGTTATAAGTTTGTGCCGAGTTTAAGAGGATTTCGAAGGACTCCCAGTAATATTCAGTTTTTTCATCAAATTGTAAGGATTTTTTACAGAGATTTTCATATAATTTGCTACTTTCTTCATCAAAAAGCATCAAAAATATCTACTAGTGATACTTTTATATTTTAGTGTAATAGCATGTTACTATTTGTTTTCTGTTTCACTCGTCAATTCATAGTTTGTTAATTGTAGTTGGCTTTATATAAAGTTTACAAAGAAAAGGGCAGAAAATGAAGGAGGAGAAGGAGGATGAGAAAGGGGGATGAAGTTGTTTAAAAAGTGAGTACAAGTTTAAACTTTAAAAAAAAATGGGTATAGGTTAAATGGGAGACAAGGTGGGTTGCTCTGATGGTAAGCACCCTCCACTTCCAACCAAGAGGTTGTGAGTTCGAGTCACCCCAAGAGCAAGGTGGGGAGTTCTTGAAGGGAAGGATGCCGATGGTTTATTGGAAATAGCCTCTCTACCCCAGGGTAGAGGTAAGATCTGCGTACACTCTAACAATGAGACTGACAAATAAGAGTTTACATAAACGTATTAATTTAAGGAACAGTCTTTACGAAACAAATTGGTAAAGAAGTTACAAAATAAGTTTTTAAAAATTTGGAAGCAAACTCCAATCAGTCTAGGAAAACTTATTAAATGGATACGTTTCACCACTTTCCAACCACTTTGACTAGAGACACGGAACTGGTTCATTAATGCAGAGACAAAAGAATCATGAAAATTAAGGATCATTTAAGCAGAGCTTCAGAGGTTTCTTCTATTCATGACAAAAGCTAAAAACCTTAGGGTAGGCCACAAGTCATAAATACAAATACTAGAGTAACAATTTTGAGTCATTATAATGATTGAGAAGCTAAGGAAACCCTAACCAAATTAGAATAGCATGTCATGATAACCAAAATTACCCTTTTTCTCCAACAAATAGCTAGTCCGGAACCAAAATGTAATTCTTTTGGACAAGTAACATCTTAATAGGTGTAAAAAAATGACATTTTTATATATAGCGCCCAAATACTAGGCGCTATACATTAACGTTAACTGTGTCGTTAATGTATAGCGCCCAATATTTGGGCGCTATATATAAAAAGCTGACAGTAACAGGTATAACGCCCAAATACCCGATGCTATACCCCTTTTTTAAAAAACGAGCCGTCTTCTTCAAGACGACGATTCTGGTTCTTCTTCCTCAATATTTTATACCTTCTTCTTCTTGGTTCAATTTGCTCGTTTTCACTGCACAACCAACAAAAATATAAGCTACTGAATTAATAAATGCTTTCCATATGGCTANGTGGTTCAACTTGCTCGTTTTCACTGCACAACCAACAAAAATATAAGCTACTGAATTAATAAATGCTTTCCATATGGCTATATCACTTCACTTACAAGTCGTAATGTGATGAAATTCCATGATGGACGTTTTTAATTAGGTGATGACTATCGGATGGGCCACTTGTAAAATTCATATCCGGTTGGTACCCCCTGTTAAATATATGAGCGTTAATACAAATTCAATACACCAAAAATATACATAATTAACACAAATAAAAATTGAAGTTTACCACTCGTCTTGTGAATTATGGAAAGCATGGTATAAATTATTTTCTCGCTGCTCATTCGCCGGCGGTGATAAGTTTAAATCAAGGAAAACTCTTTCATCCGGAACCTGTCCGGCAAAAACTGCTCCAGAATAACCACCCGATGACTGGGGGTTATCTCTACTACGCACAATCTCGTTTTACGGAACGTCTTCGACATTCACGTACATCTCCAACATTGTGATTACAAGAAATTTCCGGCATTCATTCGGAGTCCTTAGAAAATCACTCAAAGTTTCATCACGTCGATGTTAAACTTCGAGTAAAAAGCAACCCCTGGCGGAGTGACGGAATACGGATATCTTCCGGTTACTTTAAGTATCACTGAACGTTTCCTCACACTCATTTTTTTGCATAACAACGATATCAATTTATCGTACTCCATTGTAAGTAGCAATTTAACATGACGCTGAGCAAGTAAACTGTAGCCCACAGAGTTATTCTCCATCACAACCTCACTCCCCAATATAATAAAACTCTTATTCTACGCTCTTCAGACATAATGAAAAAATGCTGGAGAATTTAACAACAATAAACGTTTCAACAAGAGTATGAAAATGGCTAGCCGGGAAATTTCTACACTATACACCTTTTGAATGAATTTCATACAATCCTAACCTCTTTATATAGGAAATGGCTAGCCGAAAATTTTATATATATATATATAGCGCCCAAAAAGTGGGCACTATACGCTTTTGAATTATTGAAGTCAGAAATTATTGGTGGGGCTAGGAAAAAGGTGTATAGCACCCAAATACTGGACGCTATACATAAAGTTTTATGTATAGCGCCGGAGATTTTGGCGTTATACCTGTTACTGTCAACTTTTTATATATAGCGCCCAAATACTGTGCTCTATACATTAAATCATCTTTTTTTTTACATCTATTAAGGTGCTACTTGTCCAAAAGCACCACATTTTGTTTCGGACTCACAAATAGCCACTGGACAGACCCTGTTCACACAAATTTCCTTTCACCATAAATTCCAAGACCTGCAAATGAGTCAGTCCATTCATGTTGAGACAAGCTTCATCATGACAAAGGTCAGAAGCTGCATTGGTTTCTGCCATCAATGGGAAAGGGAAACCACAATAATCCTAATGGCAAGAGTGGGTGAGGAGGATTAAACAAGGAATCAAAGCCATACATGATGACATGAAATCTAACAACTCCACTTGCACTCTTTACTTGATTTTTTTTTTTCTTCTGGAAAAACAATAGTGTTTGAACTATTTTACTCACACCTCAATCATTCTACAGGATATATTCTATCTCCTACTACCATAAGTATCGTATATCTCTATCTACCAAATGTTAAACCCTAATCTTACATGATTCTCATTGATTAATATGCTGGTTGAAAGTTCCTATCAGAGGCCGATGTAATATAGTATCAACGGATTCAATTGAACTCATAATTTTTGACACTGGAACATAAATTATGTGTAAAAGTTTACTAAAATTGTAATAATAAGTAAATATAAACTCATAACTTTAGAAATTTAACCGGTTTAATACTAAGAATCTTAAAGGCTGAACCGACTGAATTTAAATCCTAAATTTGCTTCTAGTTTTTATACCACTCCTTACACAATAATTGCCGTACTCCACACCAAAAAGAAAATGTAATTAATATGTGACACATCAATAAGATTATGTTATTATCACTCTTACATCTTTTTTGACCTTTCGGCCAATAATGAAGTGTACTCAAAATGGCTACTGGGAGTCTATTTTGATAAATAATTCTTGATTAAGCCAGAAACATGCTGAGCTACCCATAACGAGCCAGCCTCCGTGCAAGAAAAAGCATGAGTATAACCCCCTTGTTCAACTGTTAGGACAGCACCTGGAACATTATTGGAGATCTGTAACCACAAAACTGGCAATTAGATAAATTTCAAGCATTAGTTCTATAAAATGACAATAACCTTTATACATCATAAAGAGAATTGGTCATTATAGTTTGCGATTACTAAAACGAGAAGAGGATTTACTCTCATGGGATTGCTTCATTTGGCACAATGTGATCATGTGAAAATCTACCTTAATGTTGGTTTCCTGGCACTTTACTCGCACCTTAACTATTCCACCAGATACATATTACCTATCATTACGCGGACATCTACAAGTGTCATTGCTTTACGAGAGAAAGACTGTCAATAAGGTAACCATACTTGTAAAACTACATCTCTAGTCTATCCTAAGGTCTTTAGGAATTTATCCCTCCTATACATGAACATCTTCTGCATAAAGATCAATTTGCGATATGCCATCTCGAATTCACCTGTCTACTTTAGTGACCAATCTAGACCTGTAACTACACATTGATAACTAGTTATCCTTGCCGCTACTAACAGTTTCTACACGAACTCTTTTTATTACTAATATTTATTGGTATTAGGGTGACTTGTGAGAAGGACAAACACGTTTGAGGAAGGCACTCAAGTATTTATGCATATGAAGTGTGACAGGTCTGAGAACTTCAAACCAAGAAGGATAGGCCTATCCATATTTGAGTTAGGGCAAGACAAACAGTGTATCCCACATAGCTTTCTATTAATGTTTTTTCTAGACTGATACGTAAAATAGCGGGAAATACATCACTTGTTTAGCCAAGTTTCTCCAAGGCCAAAAACACCATTTTTTTTCCAAAAGAAAGTGCTTCTTTTTTTTTCAAAGTTAAAGTATTTTGCCAAACTTTTAGAAGAAAAAAGAAATGTTTTTGAGGAGAAACAGAAATAATAGTTTTTCCCTAAAAGCACTTTTATGAAAAGTATTTTTGGAAAAATAACAGGTAGCATCACTTTTTAAAATCTTAGCCAAACACTAATTGTTGTTCAGAAATGCTTTTCAAATTATTTAGCAAACCCAAATTGCTTTTCACCAAAAATACCTTTGAGAAAAAATACTTCTCAAAATAATAAGTTAATTTGATACGTAATATTTAAGCAACTCAAGTAGACAGCACCCACTCACTCCATCACGTTTGGGACATAAAAAGTAAGGATATATACACTAAAAGGGAGAGCACGTAACAAGTATAAAATCTGTTATTGCACACATGTCAAGATTAACAGGTATTGTCATTCTTCACTTCCTTGCGTAATCTCAAATTCTTCATCTCAACTCATAGCTGCTTTTTCACTTATTGTATACGTTGTCAATCTCCAATTTCATTTACAAATGAGTTAATCCACTTCCTGTTTCTTTGAAAATTGATCAAACAACTATGGTTTCGAATAAGGTAATCAAGTTGTGGCAGGAGCTTACATCCTTCAGCAACACCAATAGAATTTACGACTAGAGACATTTATTCTTAATAGTAAATTTCTAAATATTAGTTTCAAGCTCAAAATATTATGGAGGGACATTAGATGATAAAAAAATTAATAATGATAACCTAAAAATCATACTTGATGTCTAGAAATCCTAGATTGCATCTCTTACTTTCAAGATGCAGTAATTTCGACCGTACGGTAGAGTTGAACTAGAAATCCTAGATTTTATCTCTTTCTAGAAACTCATTAGATTATTTCTTACAGTCTTCAACTAGACATTAACTCAAAAGAGCCAGTTCTCACAGCATGCACAGCTGTCTGGAAACGACGATAAAACATACAAATAGTTTTCAAAATGCTGATCAGATTCGGATCGACCATTAATAAGACACCATAGAGAGAGAGTAAATCATTGTAGTTTCACATTGCAAACATAAAAGGAGAAAATATGCACAATGAAATAAAGACATTATTTACCTCTTCATAAATATGTAAGGGACCCCAGTGATCGTCGACGCCAAACAAAAATGCCATCTGACTTTTCTTTTCCCTCATAAATGACCAATCAGGTACCTCAGAAAGCTAATCCAGAAGGGGAAAAAATCATAATCAGGATAGACTGAGAAAACTTCTATGGAGGAATACAGAATGTGCACGGATTTGACGCAGTTGGGGGAAATTTCTTTCTTTTTGGTCATGTTTTAGCTTGTCGTTTAAAGATTTTCTATGGGAGTATTCCTGCTTGTCATGCAGCTGTTTTGCAACAAAAATCACAGGTTTTTTCACCTCTTTATGAAAAATTACAGTCTATAACAATCTCTTCCATAGGCAACCATCATCTTTAACAAGAATATTTTGCATGAAAGATGTTCTGGAACTTAATAAACTCGGGATTAGGTTGCACTGGGTCAAATAACGGGTACCCTTGGAGCAACATCTTGATAATGTGACAAGGAGAAACTTACCTTTTCAAATTCGGTCATTGCCATGTATAGAATGTTCTGAATGGTATGGTACTGAAAAGCACATTGCAGTTGCCAACAATTATTAGTATTAAAGCTAACAATAGATATAGATGGCTGATTTCACAATATCCAAAATCACAAAGAACAGAAAGCAAAGTTCGTTTCTCGACCAAAACTGTAACAAAACACACAGACGAAAGGAGGTTAATGATTTTGTACTTCAAAATGTGCTCCTCAAAATTACAGCAAGTAGAACTAGGAGCAAACCGCAGCCATCAAGGTATAATTTTTTTAACTAGGACATCTACAAGGAGCCCTAGTGAAAACAGTGGGTTGAAATGTGGAGGACTTCCCAATAACTGCGGGTTTACACCAGGATCTACCTTGTCTGTACTTGTTTAGTTGTTTACCCTAGTTAAGAATGAGTTAACCAACAATACCAACAGTATGCAAGATTGGCATATACTCTTTGGGAACAACATTGTGTTAATTGACAAAACTACAAAGTGAGTCGATCAAAAGCTGAACTACAAAGGAGAATCCCAGAGTAGGATTTTATGATGATTGGAAATAAGACACAATATATGAATTGCAAGTTTAGACTTTAATTAGCAACTTAGCATAAGAAGAACGATTTGGAGTGAGATTAGACAAGATTGTGGTGTCTGAATGCAAGACTATTTGTATATAAGAAAATATAAGATATATAATTAAATAGAATGGCTAAAATAGAGGAGTGCTGTTACTTTTGGCTAGAGCTCCGTTACTTTTAGCCAAAATAAAAGAGTTTCTAACTCTTTTATTTCTTCTTTAGATGCAGCGACTATTTATTTCAACATATACTCTTTCTTTTCCAAGCAAAATCTACATGGAAGTTGGGTAGAGCTCCATTACTTTTAGCCAAATAATAATAAAAAAAATAAGCCAAAATAATGGATTTTCAACTACGTATTTCTTTTTATTTCAACTTTAGCTGCAATGGCGATTTGTTTGAAACGTGTATTTCTTCTTTGTTGGTCCAAATATATAATAAAAAGATAAAAAGTTGTGGCTGATTAGCCAAATAAAAAATATTTCGCCTAAATAATGAAGTTCCAAACATGCTTTTTACAAATTTGGCCCCAAAGAAATTATCCAAAAAATTAATGAATTTAAATTAAAAAGGTAAAAAAATATTTTTGTCCACATGGCAGCGAGTTCATCACATCTCCTTGAGCTGAGGTCGTCCATAGGTGGTAATTAGGACAAAATATTTTATAAACAATGCCAAGTTCGGGGGTCCCAAAGTATTAAAATAATCTCCAAGATGAGTTATGTGGAAATATGGAGATAAAATAATGCACATATTCGACAGAAGGCACAAGTAGCACATATAAAGGAGAATAATGAGATATACATCGAGATTGTTTGGTCAGGTCCAACTTGGACCTCCAATTTTACCGGTCCGTAAGTGTGACAACATTATGGCCGAAGGTACTATAAGGGGGCAAAATAGATCCTAAAACACATGGAGGAAAGTCTCAAAAGTCCAACAATTTCTAGGAATTCATATGGACTAAGCGGAAAAAATAAAATACAACGAAAAAGCAAGGTGTCTTTATTTTTATGCCAACTAGTTGAAATATAGTTGTTATTGGGACACTTACACTAGGTTCGGTGTTTGAGAGGAGTGTTATAAGTTTGTAAGAGATCGTATGAAAGTGCAAGGATGTATGTGACATTTAGAGAATCTGTAGTTTTAGAGAATCCCTAAGTTGTCCTAAAAGAAATTAGTAAGTAGCGGAATGAAATTAGCCCTAATATGGAGCAAAAGAATATTGAGGATTCATATAGCCGATCCAAACTAGTTTGGAACTGAGGTGTTAACTTTCTTTTAATATCTATGGTGTGTGAGACAACTTGTGCGCACCTTGACTAATTCCACCATGTATCTGCTACCTCTCACCAGCACAAGTACCCGATGTGCCTACCAAGGCTCAGATGGGAAGAAATCACTTAGTGAATTTTGCCTCTGCTTGGATTTGAACCTCAGACCTCATGGTTCTCCCACTCCATTGACCACTAGGCCACAACTTTGGTTGCTTAGAACTAAGGTGTAATTATTCTCGTAAGAGTTAGGATTTGTCCATGTTTGCCTACATAAGTCATCTTAAGTTTGATGGCTTTGAAAGGGAAAAAAAGACGATGATCTTTACCATCAAAATTTACGTGCTTTGACTTTTCAAAATTGTTTAGATAAGAGCTTTGACTTGGCATTTTGGGGAAGAATTAACTTACAGATCAACTTGGCATGTCGAACTCATTGCTTATTCATCCAAAAAAAAAAATGAATAACCGGTTGATCTAATACTTCAGATCTGATTACCAACAGTGTAAAAGAGAATCAGAAGAAATTGACCCTCACCCTGAGGACATGTTTACAGAGAGCCTCCACTGCAGGTGGGGACCAGGACTTCCCCACAGATTTTTTCACCAGAAATCTGGAGATCCAGGCTGGTAATAGTGCCAGAATTGCTGCAAGTGAGCTTAGGCCCGTACATAAAGTGCGAGATCTACAGGAAGTTATAACCGAAGATCATCAAATTTTGTCACTGTGATTTAATGAGGAAAACAATGCCTACACAAATGTCACACACAAACAGGAAAAGTAATGGCAATATACTCAAAAATAAAAGTGCCTCTAGATTTGTTTATTGGATACTTTGAATAGATGCCACATATTCAGTCCTAAATGAATAAACTAGAAACTTTCAAAACTCTAGATCCACAATTCAAGCTCAAAGAGATTCGTAAAACAAGATAAACGAAAAACATAACAGTGACAATAACCAGTTGCAAACAGTCAGAAGAATGGACATACAAACTAAAACAGAAGTAACAGGTCGAAAAATAAAAGCTATATAGCCAGTGACTAGTTGGAAATGTTTATCAAGTCATATGATCTTCAAAGAGAATTTGAAATTTTAAACAAAAAGCAATCTGATATTCTGATCACACATGCTCACTGCCCGAAGTAATGTGATATTAATGGGATTCTATAACTGTTTCATTGAGAATTGGAAACAAAGGTTCAGTAGTCTGCAGTAAGAGAAAAAGCAAAAACTGACTGATTTTCAAACGGCAAGGAAGGAAAATAAACAGCTAAAGTAGAAAGCTCTCACTTCACATAGGAAACAGGCAAGGAAAAATCAAAGAGATTTACACTGCAATCTTCTTAATAATAGCTTGTGTTGAAGACTTGGTGTTTACAGCTAGAAATGGATACAAGCAAATGCAGTATGTCACCTAGAAAAAAATAGAAATATCAGAATGAGGATTTTGGGGGG